AGCCTGAATACTTGCTAGAAGCTAGAACTGTTGTACTTTGGACAAATCACAAGGGCTGATGCATAAATGAAAAAAATGACAAGGTGGAAGGAAGGAGAAGAAGAGACCAAGAGAAGATGAGGTGGACAGACAGAGTACAGGCATACCTCGTTTTACTGTGCTTTGCTTTATTGCACTTCACTGATGGTGCATTTACAAGTCCCTCCGCCAGCAAAACGATTACGACTCGCTGAAGCCTCAGATGATGATTAGCATTTTTTAGCAATAAAGTACTTTTTAATTAAGGTATGTACATTGTTTTTTTAGACATAATGCTATTGCACACTTAACAGACCACAGTATAGTATAAACATAACTTTTATATGCACTGGGAAACCTAAAAATCTGTGTGACTCGCTTTATTGCAAAAAACTTTACTTTACTGTGTGACTTTACTTTATTGTGGTAATCTGGAACTGAATCCTCAATATCTCCAAGGTATGCCTGTACAGAAAGCCACAGGAATGCAGCTGCAAGAATTGTATAAAGTGTCAAAAAACAGAACAGGCTGGAGAGATTTTATCCTTAAAGTCACCAAGAATCAACTACAATTCCATGGAACCTAACAACATGAAAATCTGATTACTTGGGATAAGTTGCTAATTGTTGTTCTAAGTTTGGCATACACAGAAAAAAACCCAACATGCAGTCGTCAAATGCAATTAACTAAACATGGCAGACTTTTTTTGCATTTTCCTATAAGGAACTGTTTTCTGTACAAGAAAATTATCATGTGTAAGGCAGTTATCAATCTACTGCAGCAAGAAAAGGCAGAAAGATGGACAAAAGGAAGCAAAACATAAAATTTTTTAAAATCCATGATATACACTCATTGTGTCTTTGTTTCTGCACCCAACGATTGCATATTTTCCTCAACTGTTAACTTCTCTCAAAAGCATCTCAGAAGAAAAGCCAACTTGTATAAGCAGCTTTATGAAGCATTTAACAAAGCAGCCTCCAAACCTTTGTGGAAACTGTCCAGATCCCCTTTTGCCTGTTAATACAGTAAAAACTAATTACAGTACAGTTCTATATAATTCTAAATAAGTTATTCAGAAAAAAACCCTTTAAATTAAATAGCTGTTTAATTAAAAATAGCTATTTTTAGCTAAAATTAGCTATTTTCAAGTAAATAGAGAGCCAATTTGGTGTAGTGGTTAAGGCATCAAGCTAGAAACCAGGAGATTGTGAGCTCTAGTCCCACGAAGCCATCCTGGTGACCTTGGGCCAGTCGCTCTCTCTCAGCCCTGGGAAGAAGGCAAGGGCAAACCACCAATGCCAAGAAAACTGCAGTGACTAGTCCAGGCAGTTGCCAGGAGTCAGCACTGACTTGAAGGCATCTATATCTGTATCTGTATCTATATCTATATCTGTCTTGTCCATGTATGAGTATGGGAAGCTGGAGAAGTACCAGGGCCTGAAGGAGGAACTAGAGAGGATGTGGAAAGTAAAGGCCAAAGTGGTTGCAGTGGTGGTAGGAGCACTCGGGGCTGTGACTCCTAAGCTGGGAGAGTGGCACCAGCAGATCCCAGGAACAACATCAGGGCTCTCTGT